CAAGTGATAAATTGAGAAAAGAGGATGGAAGTAGGACTGCGGATGAAGCTCAATATAGACAAATTGTAGGCAGTTTGCTGTATCTCATAGCAACTAGACCTGATATAATGTATGCTGCATGTCTGCTATCACGGTTTATGCACTGTCCAACCAACAAGCACCTTGGGACAGCAAAGAGAGTACTAAGATATGTTCAAGGGACTCTTGATTTTGGCTTGGAATACAAGAAAGGCAAATGAGCAATCTTAATGGGATTTTGTGACAATGACTGGAGCGGTTCAGAAGATGATATGAAAAGTACATCGGGGTATGCATTTACCTTTGGCAGTGGAGTTTTCTCTTGGTCTTCAGTCAAGCAACAATGTGTTGCATTATCAACAGCTGAAGCAGAGTACATTAGTGCATCTGAAGCAACTGCACAGGCTACATGGCTGAGATTTGTTTTGGAGGACTTTGGTGAAATGCAAACAGTTGCAACACCAATGCATTGTGATAATACTTCAGCCATAGCTATCACTAAAAACCCTATTTTTCATCAGAAGACCAAGCACATCAACAGGAGATACCATTTCATAAAAGAAGCATTGCAGCAAGGAGTAATTGAGCTGTTGCATTGTCCTACGAAAGAGCAAATTGCTGATATCTTTACAAAGGCATTGGCAAGAGAACAATTTAGTTATCTGAGGGAACTTCTTGGAGTTAAATCAGTTCACAATTTAAAGGGGGCTGTTAGTGTGTAAATTGTGATCTGATGTGGTAGTTGTATTTCTAGCTTATATTGCTAGGATGATTAGCTAAATTGGTTGTATGCTTTCTTATCTAAGTCTCATAGTTCTTAAGTAAGTGAGTGTACATGTGTCTTCATCTCATAGGGTGTAAGATGGATGGCTAGGATTACTTGGATGTAATTTTGAATACTGCCAAAAGTTTGGAAGTGTAACTGTTAAGTGTAGAGAGAGATGTTCCTCTCTCACTAAGTGAGCAATCAAACAGTGCGTGTGAAAAAGAATTGCAATGTCATATTCTCTGATCTCATTCTTTCTCTCTCTCTCTCACTCTAGTCATTGCAGCATATCCTCCATTGTTGTACTACATTTTCTTCTTATTCTAACAGGTTTTGCCGTGGCGCAGCCCAAATGAGCCGTAAAACCGCACAGACTACACGAATAGAGCCATTCTTTGTGGCCCACTCCATTGCAGATATCACATATGAAGGTGTGGTTAAAACTTGCAGCAGGAAGTGAAAATGTGAGGTTGAGTTGGTGATGAGGGTGAGATTGGTGAGTGAGAAGCAATGGCATTGAAGCACAAGCTGTGTGGAGGTCAATGCTGCAAGCTCCACAATGGTAGGCAAAGCCATTTCCGTGCTTCATGCATGCATCACAACTGAAGGCCCCATCCGAGTATATTGGGGTTGGCAGCAGAGACAATATATGGTTTTACGATCGCACGGATGAGTGATTTGCTGAGGCATTTCTGAACATGACATGTGGAGGAAATACCTGCATGGTGTGCAAGTGTAAATCCATCCACCTGCATCTGAGACGTCATTGAGTTTACAGCATCCACACAAGTCCTGCTGCAGGTTTGGGGTTTGCTGGGTGTGGTGTATGTTGGAAAGTTTTAGTGGATGTGGGTGGCTAAAATGTTGAAGATCGGGATTTGGCTGACCATTAAGCCTCATCTCTCCCTACCTCTTCAACAGAAATTTCTTTTTTTCTGATAGTGTCTAGCTCCTTCTCTCTCAAACTTGTTGATTTCTAGGTTCTTATTTAACAATTAGCGTCCAAATTTGTACAAAAAGTCTAGCTAATGCTAACCTAGTCAACTTAGCAGTAACGTGACGGATATATATACCGGGTCAATACAATATATAAGTATTTCTGTACCTTTGAGGTGGAGCTTGTTTAGATGTATTTTTAAAATGACTTAAAACGTTTTTAAAGACAATATTTTTGGATTTCAAAAGCACTTGAAGTGCTTTTCTACCAGAAACATCAATTATGTATTTCTTCTATAAAACAGTTTAAATGATTTTTTAGGATTTACTAACGTTTTTATTAAAAATTGTTTCCAAAAACGTTTTTAGTCATTTTAAAGCACATTCAAACGAGCTTTTATTATGTTTTGTTACGATTAATAATATGATATGTATTTGTATACATTGCATTTATATAAACAAATAAACTGGTGAGATATTTTCTTAATTAAAAATGAATTTAATTGGAAGGAATTTTCTTGTTGGAAGGTGGCTCGCTCTTTCTCTACATATACTGAAGTCAATGAAGCTCTGGAAGTCTAAAGACTCAGTCCTTCCCCGTTAATTTTAGCATCTAAGGCGATGGTGCTGCTATCTTTTTATGAGGTATTTATCGGTTTTTTTCCCGAACTTATATAAAATTGTTAATTTCTCCTATGAATTTTAATTTTAGCCATATTATTCCCTTTTATAATCAATTAATTTTTCCTTGAACTTTAATTTTAGCCTATTACCTCCTTCAAATTTTATAAATAGTCAATTTCTCCCTAGCGTTAGATTTTAAATTTTTTTTCATCCTTTCAATTTTCTATTCTTTTTGTCCCATACAACTGTGTCATGTGTTGTCCGCATGATCAAAATAGATGAAATTTTGATGGAATTTTTTTTTAAAATCTAGCGTCAAAAGGAGAATTGGCTATTAATAAAAGTTAAGTGGGCTAATTGGTTAAAATTAAAATTCAAGAAAAAATTAGCAGTTGTATACAAATTCGGAGAGTAAATCGACAAATATGACTTTTTCTTAGGATGCATTTTTGCTCACCCACATTAACTTTGGTGTATACTCACCATACATCTTATTAGTTGCCATGTGTCCCATCTTCTAACCCTAGTAAACTTGTTAATTAATATATCTTTTTTAATTTTTTAAAACTAATTTAAACATGATTAAATAAATAAACTCAACCCCAAAAGCTATTCAACTTCCCCAACTAGCCAACCCCCACCCACCCTTTCAATCTTCTTGTTCAGAAGCCATGGCGAATCAGCCATCTCTGTCGTCCGCCATCCCTCTTATTCCACTGTAACTCTAATTTATTTTATAAAGAAAACTCAACAAATGTCCTTGCCAAGAAAATATGTCCCAAATTGCAAACAAATTTCAAATATGTATGTGCACAGAAATGTCCTCGCCAATAAAGAGAAAGGGCTGGTTCTTTAGGTGAGGCCGCTATCGAATTTCATGGCTGCAATGGTGCAGTTGTCGTAGTTGTCTCCAGCTGTTGTTGTATGGTCTTCGATTATCAAGTCGATGATCATATAGTCACAGTGGAAGAAAAGGTAAAAACAATGTTCTCATCGTCATCATCGAATCTTTGGCCATGGGTGGGTGGGTGTTGATGGGGTTGCTGGGTGGAGAAGTTGAAACGCTGGAGGGGTTTGAATTTTTATTTTTATTTTTAATGCTTAAAATTAGTTTCAAAAATTGAAAAAGATATATTTAATTAACAAGTTTACTAGGGTTAAAAGATAGGACACATAGCAGCTAATAAGGTGTATGATAAGTATATACCAAAGTTAATATGGATGAACAAAAATGCGCCTCTTTTTCTTATATGGGGCATTTAAGGAGGGAATTCTGAACACAATCTTAATTACAACACTTCTGTGCTGTCAATTGCGGAATCTTTGATTTTTTAAATCTCAGTAATCAAATAATTTGTTTAATTAAAGTTTTAAGATTTTTTTTTTCTTTAATTAGAGACCTTTTCGTATACCAAACTGATTACTGAGATTGTAAACACAGTAATGATGGTATTGGCAGGTATACAACCGATTACAATGGGATGGTTTTATTTTGTCTGAAGCCCGATCAATGTGAACTTAAGCCAACAATTAAGTATGCTAAAAAAATATAATTATAATATATATCTCTACTAATTAATAAAACACTTATTGTCAACTAAATTCTTATGAAATTACCTGTTTAACCTGATAATTAAAACAGAACATGGATAAGAAATATGGAGCAGAAATGTAATTTCACATATCCAAATTTTGTTTTTTTTTTTTTTCAAAACCTCATCTACATATGATCGTAACATATCTCTAATTATTAAAAAAAAAAAACAAAAAAAAACTTCCCACTCCCACATTCCCTATCACTCCTTCCTCTCTCCTTCTGTTTCAAAAACAAAAATAAAAAAATTTCTCATATACTTTGTGTGTATATATATATTTGAAACTTTTTTTTTTTGGTAAACTGGGAAATCTATTCTAGGGCAAAGAAGCCGTACAATGGAAGCCTACAACGAGGCAAACACATATCTGAAGCTACTTTGTTGAAGAATATTGTTAACCTTTCAAGCACACATGCATGATGCCAAGAAAAATTTAGTAGTATATATTGAGATTAGATTATACTATATATTAGAGTGAATCCAATGTTCTTATTGGGCCTAAGTTACTTATTTCTCAATTGTAATCACTAATTAGCTCGTACTGGGCACATTCTACTCCTATATATTTTAGCAGAAAACGATCGTAAGTTCTCTCTGAATCTGTTAACTCTAATTTTATTTCAAATCTCAAATCCTCAAATTTTCAAACACGAACGTAAATCGGTTTCTTATCTTATTAGACTTTATTCCGTTGTGATTTCTGACTTAGAAACCCCGGAGTCCACCAAAACCCTTGTCCTTGGCTCATCCACACCGCTGATTATTGTGCAGAATTATCATCATCAATTATATTATCACCCCTTTTATAGTTAATAACCCCTTAAAAAGAAATAGTCTCGTGTCAAGATTTTAGAGTCGAGCGAAATACACACTACTAATAACTTGCAAAGCCGGCATGTGTTAGTTTATCACAAAATTTTGCAGTGCAATTAAGAGTGAAGTTGTAATTTATTTTGTAAAGTTTTCGATGTTGGCTTGCATCTTCAACACCTGCATCCATGTTTATTTTAATCACGGAAACATCATGGGATCAAATTTGAAGCTAAATCAAAATTGAAAGTGAAAAATGTTATAAAAGACCTAATGCTTGTGTAATTATCCCAATCTCAAGGTAAAAACTTTACAATGATAGCGCATACTTCAGATGAAGATGTATAAACATTCGTGAATGTTTGTTGTTATTATCAAAGAAGTACATAATAATATTTTCAAACTAAGTAGGTATAATCTCCACTGACATAGTCTGCACATCCACTGATATAGTCAGCTGAGTATTCCAATGACAATGAGGAGGGATCAGTATGTTGGAAGCTAACCAGCTCCTGGAGTCGAGGGGTCGAAGGCAGCAAAGGGCTCCTCAGCAAAGGGTGTTGTCTGCATCAAAGAAGGAAGAAGAAGAAATGAAGGGTTGGCCTCAAACCGGCTAGTTTTGTTTAAATGTGTGAATGACAAATGTACACTCCAAATTAGATCACTTAAATCCCAATGAAGAACTAGGATTTAATCTGGAGTAGTACGGTGATTTAGTGTTTAAATATTGTCTTATCACCAACTCTTTTACACAAGTATGGGTGATTGAAATGTGCCATACTCTTACACATTTTCACTACTTAATGAAGTATGGTTGCTGCATTTTCTGCACAACCTTGAAGTTGAAAACAACACTCCAATATTCTCTCAATTCTCTGCCATTCTAACCCCAAGAAACCGATTCAAAATTATAACCAAAAACATTCAAACAAAACAAACTTTATCACAGTAGCCGTAGCACTAGCAGTAGTGCTTCCAAAATCAATAGTAATAGATTACTCGGCCTGCGCGCCACATAGGCTTGATAGTTTTTAGGGTCAACATTTTGGCACGCCCAGTGGGACACAGTGCTAAAACTACGAAGTTCACATGATCTATCTCGATCAGGCTTCATGGGATGAGTGTCATCGCCTATTAAAGAAGCAAAAACAACTTCTCGAGAGATTGGGAAGAATTTCTGAAAGGCAAGAGGCCGGGGGGCAAATTTCCACTCCGGCCACAACCAATATTCGGCCTAAGAAAATTGTTAATTTGACCGAAGAACAAAGGCCACCTATTTTTTCGGTTGAGACTGATAGTGTGGTAGGCCTAGAAGAAAAAGTTCAAATCTCTGAGTCACAAATCAACTTGGAAAATGATTCGTCAGAGGAGTGTTCCAATGACAAACAAGACCGATACACGGCTTCAGACCATAAAACCACATCAATTGATATAGTAATTGGAGACATGGTCTTACACGTCGAGACTACGCCAATTGACATGATTATTGGTGATAAAGCTGATATGGGGAAATCCCGTTCGGCTAAGTTGTTCGAGTTAAAAGCCGAAATCGGCGAAATTATTATGCTTGGGGGCATACTAATTGTTCAACACATTCGGTGGCCGATGTTAAAAAAACTTTTGTCAAGCCGAGCATATTTGGAGATGATTTTTTATTCGGTTCAATGCAAAATTTGATTGGCTGTGTTGATATACAAAGATCTCGGCTTGGAATAAAACATCGTTGGCCTCCTCCTCTTTATTAGTTCGGCCACTTTTGTTTTCTTTTATTAAGGACATGAATAAATTATTTTCTTAATCATCTGGCTAATTAAGCCAATACTTAAGAAAATAAAGGGGGCAACAAGAGTTTGCGGATTATAAAAAAAAATAAAAATAAAAAAAAAATAAAATAAAAAACAAAGGCTAGGCCGAGGTCGAGAGAATCAGGAAGATGATATGGTGGCCCTGTAAGCATTGGCAGATTCAAGGTCAGAAAAACAAATTATACATACTTTATGCACACTGTCTCAGCTTTTCATCTTGATGTCTGCACGTCATGGATATATATATAAGTATTGGGATTCGAAAGGTCCAGCCAAACTGAAAACAGAGTAGGTGCATGGTAGCTGTATATCTATACATCTATATGTAATCACATGACAGAGACAAGCCATTGGGATTTATATATATATATATATATATATATATATATATATATATATATATATATATATATATATATATATATGTATATGCATGGCCGAGAACACAAGCTGCCAAGTAAGATTTTTTTAATTTCTCAGCCCTTTACCCCCAACTCTTCTCGACCTATATCATACATGCCGAGCTCGGCGAACTGGTACTCGGCACAAGTTCTTTATATATATATATATAGGCCAACTGCATGGCTGGCAAATCACCTTAGACAATCATGTTACCTTTATAGATATGTATATATCGACAGGCCGAGCTCCAAGAACGGTTTTTATCGACCTTGACCCCAGCTCTTCTCGGCTTTACTTTGTCCTCGACCCCAGTTATTCTCCTTCTCGACCTTCTGGCAAGGTTGCCAAGCGTGGTCTGGAGTTGTGACTGTCGAGGAAGGTTGCAGCATTGGCAGAACATACATGTTATTGCCGAGGAACAAAGTTTCTTTTTCGGCGATACGATGGGATTTTGTTGGTCACGAACAATTAATTTCCTTAACCATTCGGCTTACGAGCCGAAGCTCAGGGAAACTGGGAGGCAATGTTTGGACCTGATTTTACACCATCGGCCCAAGCAATCGAGGCCGTTGAGAGAGCTAGCTCCTAACCGTTGGATGAAAGATGAAGATAGTTTTGTTATTATGATCGTTATCGTAATAATTATCTTTCAATATGATTCATTTTCTTTTTAAGACGGGATAAGTGGGATTCTCATTACCTCCAATGAAGGCAACAACAACAGAGTTCGAATTAATTGAGGTTATGTGATTCTATCTTGCATACAGAACCGCATGGAGCAATTCTACAAGGATGTAATGGGATGATCAGTATGATGCGATGCCGTGCGTGCGAAAGTCTCTCAAATATCTACTATATTATTATTATTATTATATATATATATATATAGTAGGCTTGCATGCCTATACGGCTATGCCGTGAGTCTCCCAAATATCTATTATATATATATATATATATATATATATATATATAATAATAATAATAATAATAATAATGGTTATCACTATTTGGTCAGATGATGTGATAAGCCTTGACAGGCTTTTGATTTGTTTGAGAAGGCACGACAGTCTGAAGCATAGCCCTCTGATATGGATCAAATTTCTTTTCACAAGTTTAAGTTGCAGTTGGACTTTACAAATATTGTCAGACCTTGCCAAGCAGAAAATATGAATACTATAAATACAAGGCTCGGTGCAACGTTGAAAGAACCCCTCCAATTCAACACACAACTGCCTTGCGCAAATTCTCTCAACAACTTTAAGATTTTTATTTTCTCTTTTCGCTGACACATCTTCCATTGGCATCAACAGCACTGTGAAAGCAACCGGTGATATCTTCAGTCGGCATAGATAACTCTGTCACCATAGAATCAGCTGATCTCGCAGCATCTTCCGTTGACATCAACAACACTGCGGTGAGGACGGTTGGTTACCTATCCAAGTCTCGGTCGAGAAGGATTTCTGAATCCTTATTGGTCGATGTCATCTCATTAGCCTTTTCGGCGAAGTGAGGTGTTACAGTTTACTGAGCTCGGCACATTGCACGCCGAGTTATTTTATGATTTGATACTCTCAAGTGGGATTTAGAGTTCGGCATTCCGATGGCCGAACCACGTTCACTATTAAGACTTATATCCGCTTTGAGTATTTGTGCCCTTACACTTTGGTGTTGATTCGGCGTGAGTTTACTCTGACGAATACCATCACTGTGACCGAATCTGACGACGACAATTCGTGAACTTCGTAAGAATAGTAGCCTTATCTTCAGGCTCGAGAACCCAAGAGGCCGAGACATGTTCCTTTCTCGGCCACAATCGCAAGACGCAGAAGTCAGTAGCGCCACCAAACGCAACATCAACAAATTTTACTCCTCGGCCAAGCTCGGCCGACGAGTTATCACTCCCCGCACACAACCGAAGGACGTAGTTAGCTTATAGATTACTCAACTTGCGCGCCACGTAGGCTTGGTAGTTTTTAGGGTCAACAGGAAGTCAACTATCCTAATTGGATTTTATGACAGTGACTGGGGTGGCAGTGAAGATGATAGCAGAAGCACATCGGGCTATGCCTTCACCTTTGGATCAGGGGTATTTTCGTGGGCCTCTGTGAAGCAACAAAGTGTTGCACTGTCCACAGCGAGGTGGAGCATGTGAGTGCATCAGAAGCAACGGCTCAAGCTATTTGGTGCCTTCACCTTTGGATCAGGGGTATTTTCGTGGGCCTCTGTGAAGCAACAAAGTGTTGCACTGTCCACAGCGAGGTGGAGCATGTGAGTGCATCAGAAGCAACGGCTCAAGCTATTTGGCTAAGGTTTATACTCAAGGATTTTGGCGAATTACAGGTTGATGCCACACCACTCTTGTGTGACAACACCTCTGCAATTGCCATGACCAAAAACCCAGTTTTTCATCAAAGAACAAAGCACATCAAAAGAAGATATCATTTCATCAGAGAGGCATTACAGGACAACACAATCAAGCTAATTTATTGCAGCATAGAAGATCAGATCGTAGACATATTCACAAAAGCACTACCGAAGGAGAGATTCAATTACCTGAGGGGTTTGCTCGGAATGACTCCTAGAAGCAGTTTAGAAGGGAGTATTGGAAGCTAACCAGCTCCTGGAGTCGAGGGGTCGAAGGCAGCAAAGGGCTCCTCAGCAAAGGGTGTTGTCTGCAAAGAAGAAATGAAGGGTTGGCCTCAAATCGGCTAGTTTTGTTTTAAATGTGTGAATGACAAATGTACACTCCATATTAGATCACTTAAACCCCAATGAAGGGCTATGATTTAATCTGGAGTAGTAAGGTGATTTAGTGTTTAAATATTGTCTTATCACCAACTCTTTTACACAAGTATGGGTGATTGAAATGTGTCATACTCTTACACATTTTCGCTACTTAATGAAGTATGGTTGCTGCATTTTCTGCACAACCTTGAAGTTGAAAACAACACTCCAATATTCTCTCAATTCTCTGAAACCGATCCAAAATTATAACCAAAAACATCCAAACAAAACAACCAAAAACCGTAGCACAGCAGCAGCAGTGCTAGTGCTTCCAAAATCAATGGTAATACTAAGACCACCACCCACCAATTGTTGTTGTTGTTGCTGCTGCTGCTGCTGCTGTTGCTGCTGCTGAAACTGTTGTTGCTGCAATTGTTGTGGTTGTTGCGGTTGCTGAAATTGTTGGGGTTCTTGTGGTTGCAGGTATTGTTGCAGTTGTTGTTGGGGTTGCTGAAATTGTGGCAGTTGTTGAAATTGTTGAGGTTGCTGAAATTGTTGCGGTTGTTGTTGGAAAGGTTGCGGTTGTTGTTGCTGGAATTGTTGCAGTTGCGGTTGCTGGAATGGTTGCAGTTGTTGCTGGAATGGTTGCGATTGTTGCTGGAATGGTTGCGGTTGTTGTTGTTGCGGTTGCTGGAATTGCTGTTGTTGCTGCTTCTGGACTTTTTGTTGTTGCGGTTGAGAATTACCAGCAGCTCCAAAAACAGGAAAACCGATAAGAGCTGTAAGTGCTGTGTTTACAATAGCCTTTCCCAGCTTCTTAACACTTCTCCCTCTATTCAAAGGTTGTACAGTATTAGCGGCTTGTCCTCCATATACTACACTGCTCTGCATTCCATTATTATTACTACTAATAATATTTGGTTGTGGTCCATAGTTTTGGACCTGGAGATCGTGAGGACTACCTGAAGCAGCATTTGTCTGATAATTATACGGACTGCCAACGACAACTGGCGATGACAGTTGTGCTGCTTGATTTAGTTGAATTGGTTCGGCGGTGGTGCAGGCCAAATGAGCCACAAAACCGCAAGGATGGCATAAGTAGAGCCACTCTTTGTACCCAACTTGGTTGCATATATGACAGATGAAGGTCTTGCTGCTGGTAGGCCCTGGAGGAAGTGAGAAGGAGAGAACGAGTTGGTGAGGGTGGGAGTGGTGAGTATGAACCAACGGCTTTGAAGCACAAGTTGTGTGGAGATCAATCTTGCAATCTCCGCAGTGGTAGGAAAATCCATTTCCGTGCTTATTGCATGCACAGCAATTGAAGACCCCATCAGAGTATATTGGGGTTGGGAGCAGAGTCAGGACATGTTTATTCTCATCACATGGATGCGTAATTTGCTGAGGCATTTGTGAACATGAGACATGGAGCAAGTAATTGCATGGCGTGCAACTGTAAATCCATCCGGCAGAGGCATCCAGTTTGCAGGCTGAACAAGAGGTAGCTAGCCACTGCCCGTTTGAGATTTGCTGGGGATGTGGGTGATGAAGATTGGAAAGGATCAAGGGATGTGGGTGGCTAAAATGTTGAAGCACGGCCTCAGGTTGAGGTTGACCAGCGACCTGCATGATCATCTCTCACTCTCTCACACAAGCACAGAGGGAGGAACTTGTCTTTCAGATGACCTCTAGCTAGCTTCCTTCTTGATCTGTGCTCTTATAATAATTTCGTCCCCTTCTGTACTATGTACAATGAACATCGGTCGAATTATGCCTAGTGGAATTAAATATAATCCGACATACTGCTGCGTCAATACAATATATATATGCCAAATTGAAATTATTTATAAGCAATGAGGCTGGTGAAATCTATTCTTTTATTGGAAATTGTAGGGTGACATCATACGCATTCAAGTCAATGAGCCTATCTCTCAAAGAGCAAGCCTTGTTAAAGTCAATCGTACTGGATCGTCCGATCATCGAACTCAAGAGTTGTTTCTGATATATCTCCCCAATGGGGCATAGAAAAGAAGGAAAGAGGCTACAACTACAAAATTATTAAGCATATTCACTGAAATTATCTTGAATGATATCAATCAGGAGCTACGATCCTGATGACACCATGAAAATTAATATGACTAATGTTTAAAGTTTTAGAGAGGCCAACGGTTAGTTTTCACCTAAATTAACTATAACCATATATATGTAATACCTTTATATTGAAGAAGAATAAACACATATTTTCATGGTGGTATCTAAGTTGGAAAGTATCAAGTAAAATTAGCACCTTGGAAGACTTACGAAAACCAATCAGTTTAGTTGACATTGTCTTCCTATACATCCGCAACCACTTCATGCTACACGAGGATATATACAAGGAATTAAGAAGAAGAGTGGAAAAGGACATGCAAAAGTCAAATGAAATCTTGTATTTATTTAGTGTGTGTATGTATATATACTGACCAAAGGGAAGGGATTCAATTTTTTTTTTTTAAAATGAAGATTAGTTGTGTGATCCACTCTATATCAAATTTCAATAATTTAAATCGTGTATTTTGTAAGTCTCGAGTTATCATCTTTATCAAAATTCAATTTGATCCGAAACTATTTGTCATTTAATTGTCATAATGAAATTTCAATGTTTCTTAGAATATAATGCTCGTCAATTTCTTTGAACTTAATTATATGTCTCAAATATTTCCTATTTTGGCAAATATTTTGCAAGAATGATCTATGAAATGTAACTTGAAAAATAGACGATTCAAATTGTTAAACCCCAAAGGAGAGATCTTGCAAAGCTTGACAATAAGTTGGGCTACTCCCCAACTTGCCACTTGGTTTTATGATGGAACCTCAATTTTCTTTATGGTATCAGATTAGGTTATTCCATGTGTGAAGCCCAACAACCACATGTGCTCCTTGTTACCTCATTATATTATTCACGTGCTTAACTTGAACGTTAACCACACGTATGTGAGGGGTTTGAGGATGTAAAAGTAAAAGAGTCATATTAATGAAAGACTGAAAGTACAAACCTTCTAAGAGGTTGAACTACTTTCATATTATCAAATTAGAGATTAATATTACGGTGAAACTAACTTTCTTCATATTTCTTACACAAAACAGATTAATCGAATCTTGTTATTCCTACCACTTTATATGACCACATATTAGTTGACCGCACGATGTGAGCACAACTAACGTATCTACTTCAACTTCTTCATCATCTATAATTATTGATTAATCCGTAAGAAATTAACTAGAACGTTGATCATCCAATCCAAGGAGAAACCGATTGAGAGACTTAGAAAGATCGATCGATGCAATGGCAGTGGCGATGGTGAAGCATTTCAGCCACCGCCATGAGTTGTGCTCATTTCAAGTGCAAGAAGAAGATGATGAAATTATCATCTGCTCGGGATGTGACCTGGAGTTGATGATGAACTCAGGTACTTACAGCTTACAAATGCAGCAAGTCCAAGTGCCAGTTTTACCTCCACGACTTGTGCTTCGAGCTCCCCCGACAAATAAAACACAAGTCTCACCCCCAACACCCTCTCACTCTCGTCTCCAACCCTCCCTACGAATACGGCGAGTTCAAATGCGATGCCTGTGCTGAGTAGGGCTCTAATTGTTTCGCCTTCCACTGCGTCCACTGCAAATACGATCTCCATCTCCAGTGCGCTGCGTTGCCTGAAACTCTTGGTCATGCGCATCATCATGAGCACACCCTCACTCTCCGATATTCTTCATTGCCCCCAAATCACGATCAAGGCAAACGAATAATGTGCGATCTCTGCGGAGGGTCTTCCCCAGAGGGCTGCTGGGTCTACTGCTGAAGCTGATGGTCAAGATTACCACCAACATGACGATCATTCAATCTCATCTTGAACGTTCAGTTTTATTTTCGCATGCAATTTACGTCATCGATCGCTTATTAAATTACTATGTATCATGATGATAGATTATTTAGGAGTTAATTTTGCTATTCGGCGGTTTATGTACTACTTTGGCGTGTGATTGTCTTCCCTTAATTATCATAACCTCTGGATTGCTTTGGTTCTTGTAGCGTTGCATTCGAGAGTATTTCGAAATGAAAATTGTTACTACTGTTGAAGGGGGAAAAAGCTACCCAAATTGATGAAGTAAACATCTATATATTATATAGTGGATCTATCTAGTCGCTCTACACTCGGTAGTTTGATGCTGCGACCTGCCGCGATTTGCTATCAGGTATTAGACTTTTTATCACAAATAGTCCCAGTACCATTCGAAACACATTCTTCAAATTCAATCAATTTCAACCCTATCCTTTTGCTCCGAACAACAAATTCATCTTCGACGTCAATTCTATCAAAATTTCGTTGAAATCCTTGAAAGACTTTCACGTTACTTTTTGCCTAAAGTTTCAACTCCATTGCCATCACCTTCACCTAGCTAAAGCCCCTATTCATCAAATGATTTTTTTTTTTAATTACAAACACAAATTGATGGTGTCTAAAATATACGTCAAAAGGTCTGAAATTGTCAATTTAGGCAAAAATATACATTTACCTGTGTATTTCATTACATATATTCTAATGCTTCCAAGAAAACAAAATTACAAAGAGAGTTATCTATTTGAGCAAGCAATGGTGCTATATCTACATCGAGAGATAAATGAGGCCATCCCTTTGGAATCTGAATGCAACTATTCATTATTGTTGGAGGAGTGAGAGCCCTTCTTTTGTCCTCCAAGAATACGTGAGATCTGTAAACCTCTGCTGAATGCTTGGTTGAAGAGCATTCGCGTCTGGAATTCGGAAACAAACGGAAACCAAGCCAAGAATGCAACCGGGGTAAAAAGAAGCAATCCAATGATTATTTCATAACCGCGAGCAAGTGTTTGAACTGATTCCCAAAACCCTGCTCGTTTAATTAGTGGCTTACAAGCTTGCGCAATCTGTAAGAAACAAAACAAAAAAACAATGGAATTACTTGAGAAGAACAGGAAAGAGTAAGTTTGCAAAATAACACACAGAGAAACGGAGAAAAACAATTTACTAACCAAAAGCAATCCCCATCCAGTTGGCATGAAGGCAAGAATGCACACTACAACATCCCGAAGTGTCATATGAGGGACCACTATTAAGGTAATGAAGATGGCTAAAAATGTAATAAATATAAATCCCTTAACCAGTCGAAACAAAAGCTGATAGTCTGCACTTAATCGTCGCCTTCCAGCAGACACAGCCTGAAAAAGTTGAGCCAAACTGTCAAATAAAAGGCAGCAAATTTACTTTTCATTGTCGTACTCATACATTTAGTCTGCCAAACAAAACAGTTAGTAAAAACCAAGTAAATTTTTCCTTGCATGCAAAATGCAAGAAAAGAGTCAACGGGACTTTTCTCTGAAAGTACATGAAACGAAAGCAAACGTGTGAACTATTTTTCTGAAAATACACGAAAGAAAATATTTCCTTAACTTCTCAAAAGACAGATTTTGAATTTTCAAACCCAAAGCAAATGCAAAATGCCTCAGTTTCTTCTCAGTGCAATAACAAAGAAAGCCTCTGCGTGGTAAGTTATGCCCATAAAACAACTCATGATTGACATCATACAATGTTGCAATAAATATAAATCTATAAACAGAGAAATATGGCTTTGCTTCAAGATATATATTAGGAGTCCAGAAATTTTACTACGCACCTTCATCAGACACAAAACTAGAATGATCACGAGCCACGAAACACCATATACCTACATGTGCATTGAAAAGTAAATTAATACACCCGTATAATAAATAAAACAGTTATTTGGAATGCATATATATAGGTCAAGAAATGATATACCAGGAAACTTTTGTTGTTTGTGATGTTAAGGTGATAGACTAGCCCATACTGGTAAATGAAAAAGCGCAATGCTAATAATATCTCAGCAACGATGCCACGTATCCCGGAGTACAGAAGATGCTCATGTTCTTTTTCCCACCAGGATTCCCAGCTCTTGTCTGGTGATACACCAATCCCTCCATGATTGTTTATCCACTTTTTCCAATCTGTCCAGTCATCAACAATCTTTTGCCACTCAAACCCTGATGGATTGAAGAGGAAAGGAGCAAAAAGCCATGTTCCAACCATGAACCATATCTGTATTGTAATGAGAATATATACAACTCCACTTTTATATGAACGGCCAAATAGGTGGTATACCACAAGCAGAATCAATAACTCAATGCCCTTGACAAAGTGACTTCTAGAGTAGAGCCTGTAGTTATCAGCAAACTTGGCATGAAACACTACAAAGCTACGACCCGTTCCTCTGTATTCTGCACCTCCATGAAGCAAAGTCTTTCCATAATAGTGGGTCTTTGTACCAAGAGAAAATGTGAAAAACACCGGAGCCAATTGTAATTGCATCAATACAAAATCGCTAAGTGCAGTACGGAACCCCTTTTCCAAACCAATTTCCATAACCATAGGCAAGGCCATCAAAAATCCAATTTGCACAACAGACTGAGAAGCAAGAGCTACTTGAAGAGGTTTATTGTCTCGAATACCTCGCTGAGTACTCAATCCTTTTTCAAGTCCACTGAGAACAAGATAAAGGCGACCGTAGAGAAAAACATAGACCGTAAGCACAGTCAACTGTCAAACCAGAAACAAAACATTTGAGATAACGGGAAAGGATTATATTATAATTGAAGAGAAAGGTAGACTGGGTACATACTAAAGTGCTGAAATAGAAACCAATTGTAGTGACGTAGCAGGATAGCATTCGGAAGAAATCAAATCGATGCCCAAGTCTATAGATGTCACGACTCAGTGTCTGTTCGCCATTCCCATTAGCTATCTTTGCCTCAAAAATTGAGATTTGGTTGAGGCCAACATCTCGTCCTTTACCTACTTGTATATATTCATGATGAGTGACGCTGCCTTCACGTACTGTAGAATTGAAACCTGCAGACAACAAATATGTTAAATTGGTTCACTATCATTCTGGGGGGGGGGGGGGGG